CCCCAGCATCAGCAGGGGAACCTACACCTGCTTATCTGGCTCCCAGCTCCCCAGCACTGTACAAAGCAGCTGGCGCCAGTTTTCCCAGCCCCTTGCCTGCGTTCACCTTCTTTGTCATCAGTTTCTCCCCCATTCTCTGGAGGGTTGCCTGGAAGCCTATGGAAAAAGAAAGCTCTTCCCACTCGTGCCTCTGGCTGTCTCCTTATTTCTCCAGGTTTTGTAAGACTGAGAAGGAATCCTAGTTCAGGAGGTAGCTGACTTTCTGTTTCATTCCTTAGCATCTGAAATAATGTAGTTGTGCACACACCCCTTGACACACTTGAGATATATGTGTATATATATATATTTAAGTCTGATACCTAGAGCAGAATACAGAAAGACTCACAGTACTGTCATCCTCAAACAGATACATATTTTCCCTTTGTGGACATAGCATTAACTTGCAGTTCCTTATTAAAACCACTCTGAGGGTTACAGGGGTTGTACATTGCATTTCACCTTTCTCAAATTGCTCATGTCAGTTCAGTGGGCTAGAGAATTCATTTCCATAGGCCTCCAGAGAGCTGCACTGTTCAGGGGTGGGTGCCTTTTTGATCTCAAATTTCCCATTTAGAGGTGTCTATAGGGATCTCATTCCATCCTTTTGCCATGACTTCCAGTCCAGCCAAGAAGGTCTCTTAGAAGCTTGATTTGAAGACTTAGCAGCAGAAAACTACCACATTCTTGGGGAAATTATCCCAGGGGTTAACTGACATCATTATTTAAAAATTGCAAGTAATTGCAATTACTTCAAGTCTGCATTTGTCAGGATTTAACTCCTAATCATTGGATATCCTTCTGCCTTCCTCTGCTGGATTAAAAAGCGATTTACTTTCAGTCTTGTGTATGCACAAGATCATGACCAAGGTGTGGCTGTGCCTTCCACGTAGTTGTTTTCCCACCACCATCTCAATGGGATCATATCCAAACATCAGGTCACTTTTTGAACCCTTTGCAATCCTTTTGAAAAACTTGATGTGCATGGCAGTAACCATTTTATTGCTACTACATATGACTGTTCTATTGACATGCTGGCAGAGTTTCTCCTTGCTGCAGTATCACACCAAAAGCTTATTTCCAGTGGCTTCTATACCGTGACTTTTAAGTCCCTTACAGAATAGCTGCCTTCTTGGATATTGTTCTTTATCTTATGCCTGTTTCATGCATTTTTTTTGCTTCTTGCTGTATGACCTTGCATTGGCCCTTTAAAATATACGTTCACTTTACCAGAATCCCATGTTGGCCTGTATAAATTACTTACTTTCTAAGAAATTCTGATGCCAAATATTTCCAGCAGTCATCTCAACTTTACACCTCACCTCTGATAAAGATATTAAGAAGCATCAGCCTCGGAAATAATCCCTGTGGCTCCAGTCTTGTTGTGTGCTAGTCTCTCCCTACAGCTGCTGTACAATCTATCATCTTCACTGATCTGCCACCCTTTGATACATTTAAGACAGATTCTGTAGCATGCTACTTTTTAAATCAGGTTGGGAGAGCAAAGCAAAGTCCCCACAGAAATTCTTTAGTATATCTATAATTAGAATAGACAGCAGAGATAATAAGGAAATCTGGTTTTTTCCTTTGTTGTCATGTACTGATTGTATTTTTCTTGGCTTCATTAGACCTATACAGATAAATGATGTTGTGTTTCTGTGTGGTTTCAAACTATCACCAACAACAAGAAGATTGAGGTAATTTAGGTTTTTTTAAAAAATTAATTTACCCCAAATTAAATACTTGGCTTCAGCTTTGTAGTGTCACTTCTTTTTTTAATCATTGTAATAAAACTGGAGGAAACATTTAAATGAAAACATCATTTTGAATTATATTTTCTTTAAAAGGTCATATTGAAAAGTGTAATGTTTAAAGACTTCTTTTTTCTTGTCAAGATTAATAAACCAGCAGACCTGCCACTAATTTAAGTGGAAAATGTTACCTACCCTTGCTCCACAGAGCTCCAGTTTTGAGGTCCTTGTGAGAGGTACAATCCTCTTACTTCCCAGCTGATGTAGGGTATGATATTCTGGGAGGGGCTGTGCATTTTTGCACTCACATTAATGTGAGCACAGGCATTCAGCATCTTCCCCTACCTCCAGGGCAAACCACTGGCCACAGAATGCAAACTGTGGACACATACTAGCAAAACCACTACTAATGTTTATCAGTGCGCTGGACAACTTAAAGTAAATATGAAGCAAATAAGGAAAGAGAGAAAGAAAAGGAGGGGGTTTTATCCTTGAAACAATTTCAAGAGAAGTAGAAGGTACGCCTTCTCCCCCCCCCCCCCCTCCCCCCACGACCAACGACGGTCAAATCCAGTATGTTATCACGGAAATGTAACATCATCTCTGTAAATAAGTGAAATCTTGGAAAACAGTAAAAGTGGTATTATGGCCTTGGATGTTTTTAGATGTTACCCATCAACTACAATTAAGTGGTGTTTTGCACTGAAGGTGCATGACACGCTGAAGCCAGTGTGAATTGGCTAAAGACCGGGTGCTGGCGGCGTAGCTGTGCTAGTTTACGTCAGCTCAATAGAATGGTGTCATTTACACCATGAAGGGAGAGCAAAGTATGTGACCCTGTCTTTACCCATGTCTCTTTAGGTATTTTTGCATCTTTTCTCTTTTTTTTTTTTTTTTACTGCTAGTGCACATTCATGGGAAATACATGTGGCTCTAGTTTTAATACAATAATAAAGTAAACATCCCGATCTCTTCAAAAACTGCAAATTAACACACAGCCATTCCCATATGATGTTTGCAGAAAAGACTATACTAACATACATGAGGACCTGAAAGAGTAATTGGTTGGAAAGTGAAGAGAAATTGGATTTCACTGGAGAACTCCCAGAAAGCAAACAAACAAGGAAAAGGGGAACAGGAGGCAGAATTAATGGGGTTAAAAACCAGTAACTCTTAAACACCAGAGCTGTTATTGACACCGATGGGGAAATGCATTTCTCACAGGACTAGTTTTTATCCAGACGGTGTCCGTTTAATGGGAGGAAAGAGAAAGCTGAGGTTGGGGAGCGCCAGGGAGCTGGGACGCGTGAAGGAAAGAGTTAAGGCTGCAGTCACCCTCTCTGAAGTGCTCTGTGATGCTGTGCAGTGTTTCAGCCCCCAGAGCCTTCCTCCTCCTCCTCCCTCCCTGTGTCAGAGCGGGGAGGAGGCGGGTTCTGCTGAGCTGTTAAATCCTGAGTGAAGTTTCCCCCATTTCCAGTGGCCACTGTTGTCTGAGGCTGGTTCGGAGCAGGGCTGGGGTTACCCTGACATTTCTGGGACCACGGCCAGCCAAGAAGGGTAAGAGGAGAAAAGACGAGTCTCTTAGAATTTGTTTTTGTCGAAGTGTGGAAAAAGGGGAAAGGGAAGCGTCCTGGGTTTTTTCAGCATCACATTCCTGTATTTTTCTTCAGCCTGGAAAATATATTAATGCTGGTGCTTTCCCTTCTGGAAACAAAGGAGCTAAACGGGACTGAGGAAGCAAGAAGTGGGAAGGAGGCTTGGGAAATTTAAAGGAGAGACACTCGGAGCAGCTGGGATTTCCCTCTTCTTAAATGAAATCCCTGCCTGTGTGGGTAACCGATAGAGCAAAAAGCCAGACCTGCAGGTAAATGGAGAAGCAGAGATTCCAAAGGAAATTTCCGCTAACCTCATCCCGCTTGTCAAGAAGGTGAAGAAGAAGGAAAGTTAAAAGATACGCAGGGAGACAGACAGGCTCTGGGACCTGTTGGGCTGTGTAAAGATAAATCACTGGGCAGCAGCAAAGCTGTATGGCATTGCTCTCCTTTTAAAGGAAAAAGACGTTAAACCTCGTCGCTGGAAGGGGAACTTCCCTGAGAGTGTAAGTCTCAAGTCAAATTCTTGGCTTTCTGCTCTACGTACCGGACCCTTTCTCTGTGCGTGTTTGCATGTGTGTATGTGAGAACGTGAGAGAGAGAGACAGAGAGAGAAGGATGTGGATCACAGTGTCCTTTTGGATACACACAGTCATGTTACAGACAGATGATCTCATTTTTGCACAAAATTATCCATTTTGTGCTTTTCCAAAAATAACTGTAAACTCTACAAAGCCACCAGGGCAGAACAGAGGTGTAATCAGTACTTCTAAATCAGAAAAACTAGCCAACCTGTGCTCTTTTTTTATCACTTGTGCAAGATATCATCATACTGTTAACATCTAACTTTTTCTCTTTCTCTTCCTCCCTGCAAGTGGATTGCACAATGAACTGGAGGCCAGCTCTCAGCTTAGCCCTGCTGTGGGCAGTGTGGCTAGTGTGCGGCTCTGAGAAGACAGGGAGGCTAGAGGAGAGAGGGAGCCATGGAGTTAGGAAAGTGTCCCTGGCTTACAGGGCTCCAAGCAGCCTCCTGAGAAGGTCTGGGGCATCCCTGAGGAATTCGAGCCCGAATCCCCAACGCCCCACCACCAAGAGCGATTCTTCAGCACCTCCAAAGTCATCTGATAATGTCCTGCAAGGAGAAGCGCGTTCCCAGGCCAGGGGCATGGGGACCAGAACAAGACGGGTACAGAGACTCACAGCTGCAGCCAAATACTCCAAGTCCGAGATGATTAAGGATGAAGGGATATCTTCTGCCTCACAGTCACGAGTGGTACGTTTCCCTTTGGGGTCAAGTTCTCCCAATGTCCTGGCCAGCTTTGCTGGGAAAAATCGGGTGTGGGTCATTTCTGCCCCCCATGCCTCTGAGGGCTACTACCGGCTCATGATGAGCCTGCTGAAAAATGATGTTTACTGCGAACTGGCTGAGAGGCACATCCAGCAGATTGTGTTGTTCCATGAAGAAGGGGAAGAAGGGGGAAAAGTCAGAAGGATAACCAACGAAGGAAAAATCCTGGAGCAGCCACTAGATCCTGCCCTCATACCTAAGCTCATGAGCTTTCTGAAACTGGAGAAGGGGAAATTTGGCATGGTGCTGTTGAAGAAAACTCTGCAGGTGGAGGAAAGGTATCCTTATCCAGTCAGGCTAGAGGCCATGTATGAAGTTATTGATCAGAGCCCCATCAGAAAAATTGAGAAGATGCGGCAGAAGGGCTTCATCCAGACTTGCAAAGCAGCTGGGGTGGAGGGACAAGTGGTTGAGGAAGGCAGTAACAGGGGCAGCGCCCAGCCTACTCCTGGTGGTGGACATGTCCAGGTGTCAGCAAGGAAGGAGGAGCCAAAGAGGAGCAATAATCAGCCAACAAGGACCAAAACGGTGAGGAAACCAATGACAACCACGGTGGCCACTCCTCTGCCTACAGCAAGGACCACTACCCTCCCTCCCACCACCACAACTACCCGTGCCACCACCCGCGCAGTGACAACAGCAAGCCGGTCTACAACAACAACTACACCCCTCCCCACCACGCAGAGGACCTGGACCACGAAGTCACATTCCACCACAGAGTACCACAGGCTGCCAGTAGCCCCCGATGCCACCACACCACGAGTCACAACCTCTGAGGATTTCTACTCTCCTGTGTGGAAGGCAAACCGCAAGGACCGGCAGCGTGGCCACCTGGAGAAACACCTGGCAGCCACACGGAAACCAAGCAAAGCCACCCGCTATGACAGTTTCACAGAAGTCCCCACAGCTGCCTCAGTGCACTACACAAAGGCAAATGCAGGTAGATTTAAAGATAACCGAACAGACAGGAAGGACTACAACCATAGGGACCTAAATGTCACACCAGGGCAACACAAACCAACTAAGACTAAACCACCAAAAAGGAAGGCCCAAGAAAAGATACTGAGCAATGAATATGAAGATAAATATGACCCGAGCAAGCCTGCTAGTTCTCACTTAGAGGAAGAGATTGCAGTGGGAAATATTCCCCCAAAGAAAGGAAAAGAATCAAAGAAGCACGAGCGAATAGATAAACCTGAGAAGAAGAAGAAGAAGGACAGATCTGACAAGCTGCAGAAGAGTGAGAAGCAGTCCAAGAAGGACAAAGCTGACAAAAAGAGCAAACAGGACAAAGACCGTAGCAAGAAGAACAAGAAGGGGAGCAGGACTGAGAATGAGGATTTCCCCAAGCCCAACAAGAAGCCTTTCCTACAGCCTCCCAGGAAATCAGTGACTGACCTCCTGGAATATTTTGAAGGCAAAAGGCGGCTCATTGTAAGTAACTCATTCATCTGAATCCTATTACATAAATGAAGTCATATCTCCCTCCTAGTAGGAAGATGTGAAACAGGAAGTTCATGGTCATTTTGTATTCTTGGGTTTTGGTGCTTCTGTTTAAGAGGTAAAATTTCTAGGCCCAAACGATCATTTCCAACAGGGAAGGTTTCACAGCCTCATGTTGGAAATCTAACATGTAGTATGAACCTCAGTCAGCCGGGAATTAGGCTAAAACCTCCTCCCAGTCACTTCCATGAGCCACCATATAGCCATCAGATTATTTTGTTTCCAGTGCATATGTAGGTGTCAGGATCTGTATAGTTATGATCGACAAAAATGAAGTTCCAGCGTGGATTACATCCCTTTGTCGCTTTGGGGTACTTGCCAATGTTACCACATCTCGATGCTCAGCATGTCCTGCCAGCTGGCACACCTGTTTTATATTGGTGCTGGTGTCCTAAAACTGGAAGCAAGCCAGGTGGCTTGGCAGTACTAGTGCATGTCTGACTGAGGTTACGCACAAAGGCGTATGAACAGTTGCCCTGAGGTAGGATTGTTACATTTGCTATTCTTTCTGATGGGAATTTGGCATTCAAATCTCCTAGACATCTTCAGATATCCTGTGCAAACTTTATTTTGTTTTGGTTTTTTTCCCCTGCTGTTTTTATTAAACTATAACACTATGGTAAGTTTTCAACCCTGAGAAGAAACTCAGCATGGTCTGGAGTTACTTGTCCCAGGGTTTAATAGTGTTGTATGTTTTTCCAACTACTTATCTAAAAAAACACTTTACCTGGGACAGGAAACAGTTTTAGCTGTAGTACAAATGTTTTTTCTGGCAGATGGCACATGCCCTGAAAGGTACACTTTGAAAAACAGTTCTCTAGAAATATTATTGTGGGAGCTGGTTTCTTGCAATCATTCCACTGCAAGCTGGCCTGTTTCACAGTTATTGTCCAATAGTCAGTGTCACAAACATAGCTTTGACTTTCATGCCCCATGTCCCAATACAAATAGCTAAGATGCCAAACTAAGATGTCAACTGTTGGAATTTAATTAATCGTTCTGCTGATGATTCACAGACCTGAGCAGAAGGCAACTTTCTTCTCCCCCTCCCCATTCTTCCAGCTGTAGGGGCTGTGCAGAGCTAACAGACTTGCATTCCCCAACGTGATGTAAATGGAGAAGAGCCATATAGTCGAAAATTTTGGACTTGACTGAATTTTGCAAATAATGCCTATTAGTTACTTGTTAACTAATAGTTAAACAAATCAAAAGTTCAGAGAGAGAAACTGCATAGAAGTTTGGGATCTTTGAAACTTGGTCGGATATCTCAATGTTGTGGCTTCCAAAATATGTGCAGCATCAGGACAAATAAAAACAAATTTGAAAAAAGAGCCAAAAGCGGAGCTCACAGATGTCAGGCTGCTAATTCATTACACCAACACAGTCCTGGCAACTTAAAGGCTGGTCTGAAATTTGAACCTTCTGATACTAGGCCACCTCTCAGCTGGATCTCCAAGAATAGCGTTGCACAATCTCAGGTCATCAGGCCAAAACTCACTGAAGACAAATGATTATGCCACGCTGCACTTCACTTTTCCAGAATCTCACACCATCCTCAGCCTGCTTGCTCTAAAGTTTCTTGGAGAACAGCTTTGATTTGATCATTAGTAAAAGCAGTAGCTGAACGCTACTATCTCTTTGCCATGCATGGCATATGTGGAAAACAAAAAACTTCTTGAGCTTCTTTGAATTCACACACGTGCCTGTTTGCATCCCTTCCTGTCAAACTCTTTAGTCCCTTAGGGTCAGCCCTTCCAGCTAGATGAACCCTGCCATTCATGAGTCTTCAAACTCCCTCTCCAGAGAATTTGCCCACACTGCTGCAGAAGTGGCTCTACCTGATTTATTCCCCATTCCCTTGCTATACTTTTGACTTTCAGCTGCTTTAATAGACTGGATCACAAGGACATTTTTTCAGTCCTCTCCCAAAAGTCTTTTGAGAGATGTGGGGTTTTAAGTCCTACACATCATTAAGGATTTCAGATTGCAGATTTCAGTGTGAATTTCAAGGATCCAGAATTTTGAAGGCTATTCTGGGTTAAGTTTAATTAATGACAAATATAGGACCCAGCTGCAGAAACTGAAAAAATATACGGGTTTTGAGTCCTGCAGCCCCACCTCTCCATAGTGGGGCTTTTGTCGCAGTCTTATTAATGCTGAGAAATCTTGGTTCAGTGAGTTTGGGTTTTTTGTTTATTTCTCTGTGGTGATGAAATGCAGACTGACGGTTTATATATAACACTCTATTTATACCCACACACACATATATGCACATGCACATACACACACGTGCATGCAAATGCAGATAGATACAGTGTATATACTGCCTGGGTGAAAACAGTCCTAGCACAAAGCTTTGATTTGAAGTTTGCTTTGCCTCTTAAATGTTCCCTGCTTTGTTCTACGAGGTTTGATGAAGTAGATCAAATTCAGACTTGACTGTGCCTTCCTGCTTACGACCTCTGAAACTAGGAGGACAATACAAGCCAATGGTCTGGTTTTGATCTCAGTCCTCAAATCCTTTTCATGATCCTTTTTTCATTTGAAGCATTTCTATGCAATTTAAAAGCATGTTATACGTTATGGCCCAGAAATCAAATCCTCTTTCTGTCTGGCTCTCATTTACCTTCATGTCCCAATGCTGTAGTCATGCCAGTGGGCCTTTGCATGAGAGTCAGATATTAAAAGCCCCAAAATGCCTTTTACATTTCAGTACATTGATGAACTGGATTTATAAGGAGTATTTCATAAAAATTAGCCTTCACACCCTACAAACTTGAGAAGGCAGTTAGAAGATGATTGCACCTGTTACAGACTAAAAAGTGTAAGTTTGCAATTGAAGGATTCTGGTGATTATTTATGACCTTAAACCATAAAATTTGGATGCAGATTCCAACTCCCTTTGTGTTTGGGGGATTGGTGGCAGGTGCTTGATTGCAGTTCACTGCTGCCAGTTAGAATGATTACATTGCTAGAGCTGTGGCATTCCTCTCCACCTTCTGCTGGAAACTGCTGCATAGGACCACTGCAAGTTGTTACACACACGCCTCCCCTGGAATATTTGCATCTCAGTCACTGATGAAGGATCTAAGTTGTGTGCTTTAAACTTGTTACAAATTAAATCTTTGCAATTGTTTGGAGGCTTTGAAATAAGTACTATAAACTGTAGAGAGTTTTATACTTGTGGTGTTGTAATTGTTCCCCCTCCTGCTCTTCCCCCATAACCATGTCTTCTCAGCAATTATAAGTCCTGTAAGACATCGAAGTGGCTTGGAACAAACAAAAGCTAAATCAGCAATTTTCAGATGAGGTCACAATGGCCCTAGCGAGTCTTCCAGGTCATCTTATATGGCCATCAGCTACCTAAGTTTTCATGTAGCCCTAGTTGTACTCACCCCTTGACAGTCAAAACAGCCACCAGGACCCCTACCTGGACCATGGGATGAGGCCAGAGTGGCTGCCATGTTCCCACTGCTCCCCTTGTTAGTAAGTAGGGGGAATGCTAGATTCATGGCACCACTGAAGGCTGTGAGGAGGCATGACTGGCAGGGCAAGGGATAATAGGACAGTACATGGTTTTCTGTAAAATCAGTGCCATTTCTTCTATCAATCGGTGCTGTGGAGAGGCAGCGGAGGAGCTGGTGCCACCAGCTGGCTGTGCTTCCTAAGGTTTTCCTGTGGCTGGTTGAACACCTTTGGGTCAGGCCTGAGCCTAAAGGTACACTTCAACCACAAATAAATAAAATAAGGCTACAGAGCTGTCACCAGCTCTATGGAAAAGAAAGCCCAGTTTGCAGTGACTAGTTCTCCTTCAGTAAAATACTCATCTGCTTCATTCCTTATACTAAACAAGCTCTTTTGTCTCTGCCACCAACTAGCTGATCACGACCCCCAAGGCGGACAACACCATGTATGTACAGCAGCGAGATGAGTATCTGGAAAGCTTCTGCAAGATGGCAACGAGGAAGATCTCAGTCATTACAATTTTTGGCACCATGAACAACAGCAGCATGAAAATTGACCACTTTCAGCTAGGTTCTTTTTTTTAATAATTTCTTTCCATCTTGTGGGCGCAATACAGACAGCAAAGGGATAAATCTCCCCAGCTTGGGTCAAGATCTAAGCAAGATCATTTGTTGTGGTCCAGTTGCACTTCTGAACCCATTCCTCCTCTTTCCATGCCAGCTACACCCCTTTTGTATTTACATAAGTGCCTCTGGTATTTCCCATGTTTAGGCTTCCAGTGGTGTAATCTGAGCACCTTCAGCTTGCTTTCTGGGAATTCTTAAAGCCAGTAAAACAGTGAAACGGTGAAAAGCAGAAAAATGTGATGAGGGCATGGGACAGAAAGAAGAAATCAGGCTCAGCTCTACCAATATCTTGAATACCAACCTCACTGTCTAACCAAATGGCTGTCCTAATACAATGCCCCGCCCTTGGTTTTTTGCAGGACATCAGCCATGGGTAGCTAGATACTGGCTAGCACAATTTAAACACTGCTTAAAGAAACTGGTTGTTGTCATGAAGAAGAGGAGACTGGGGACAGAAAATGCTGAAGGGAACTGTTTGAGATTATATTCAAAGCTTGGCACAAGTTAATCCTATTTTGAATTTCAACATCATTATCTCCCTACTCTGCCACATAACATTTTCTCATGCCATTGCACTCCTCAAGCTCACAGAAAAATCTTCATTTTTCAGGGGCACGCACTGCCTAAACCCAGGACAGAGAGAAGTATGCTAGTTAGACCCCTTGCTGCGAGTTCCTTTCCTTCCCAGGATGAACTTTCCTAAGTTTAAGAGTTGATTTTGGTATGTTCACAAAGTGAGTATTCTCTTCCACAGTAAGGGGAGGAGGTCCAGGCACATTTTCCCCTCTGTACTGGTGGAAAGATATTTAGAAGATTTCAACCACAGCTTCTAGGTATGGACAACCTTACAAATTTGCACCAGCATACCTGATATTAAAAAGTTTACCATTTGAAGTCCATTAGTCTCTCTTTACCCATAAAGCAAGATACCCATCAGTGTGACTGTTTATTGCTGGCTGTTGTAAAGATGTACATCTCATTGAAGCCAGAGGTTTTGGAGGCACTATAAATCAGACTATGAAGGACTTGAAATGTAGCTCATTCAGCCATATTTAGTACCACCTTCTTTGCATACAGAGTTCCCATATGGATGGGTGACACTGGGCATCCATCTCTCTTAGGCAGCTTTGAAACAACCGGTGTCAGTGTTCAGGTCCTGGGGAAGCACCCACCAAAGCTAGTGAGAACCTTTCCTTTAATAACAGTAGGGTTTGGACAAAGACTTCAGGTCCCAGTCCAGCAAAGCACTTAAGCTTAGGTGTCTCTTGAATCATGTAAACAGTCTCATTGCTGTCTGCCTCTAAAGGTTAACACCACCATAAATGCTTCGCTGGACAAAGGCAAAGAAATAGTATAAAAGCTGCTAGTTTTGCTCATAAGTCCACTGCATCTTTCCTCTGGAAGTTCATCTGGTTTTACCAGACCTTGGGAAGAGACGTGTGATGGAACAGAAAGCTCAGGACCACACCAGATCCAGGGTATTTCAGGTCTGGCATGCAACAGGCCAGAAGATCACAGATTTATGTCTGGCTTCCAGCCATGCCTCTTCTACTCTCAGAGGGAGAGGACCAGGAGCCTTGTATGCCTGAATGACAGCAAGTCACAAATCCAGCCAGACTGTTCATTTGTGCACCTCCTTGACAAATCTGGAGCGGTACAGGATTTTCCACATCATGCCAAGGTTACTCAAGGTCACTTTTTGTGTATCTAGACCCATCTGCCCATCAGTGGACTGTTTAGGATTATATTTAGCTCCAGTCTGGCTAATAAACAGACGTTCACTCTGACATAAACCATACTCTTTCAGCCTGTTCCAAACTTAACCTAGACCCAAACTTTCCCCAAACCACACAAGTGTATATAACAGCTGAATTCTCACAGGAGGAATTAACTTGTTGAAGAAAAGCAGGAGACTTAGAAGGGTACAAGTTAAACTTCACATGAAGTTCACCTTACATTTTTGCCCAAAACAACAAATCCTGAGCTTTTTAAAAAGTTTAAATAATACAAACACCTTTCTAGCCTACCTCCCCTTCTCCTCTACCTTTCCTGCTTGCTTGGCCTCTTCATGGTTCACTCTCTGTCAGCACCAGAGGCAGCAAAAGCTCCTGAGAAACATTTTGTTCACAGTATTTATGCTGTAGTGAGAAGCCTTAGCACCCAGCATGATGAGGTCTACTTGTAGCGCTGCATCTTGGAACCGAGATACAAATGACAACAACAGAAAAGTCCACAGAAAAGACTTTTCACTTGAAATTTCAAACATGTTTAGAAGTAGTGAATGAAAGAGAGCTTATTAACACTGTTTGGCCAAGTTCAGCTCATACTGAAACCAAAGAGTGTTTCCCGGTTTCCCACTGGAATGACACAAAAGCTGAGTGTCACTGCAGAGGTCTTCTCTTCGCCCTGAGTTAGCCATGTGGTCTCTTTTCCCCAGCTCACAGGAACAGGGCTTTCGTCAACTAAACAGCCCCAGGCTACCTACCTTACAATCAAAGCCAATACCTATTCTATTAGGCCACTGTACTGCTACAACAAACTGCTGAACTCCTTTGCAACCTCATTTGAATTATTTGTGAAGAGTAACTCATCCTCTCAGCCTGTCTAGCTGCTACAGATGTATGGAGAAAAGTTTCCACACTCACTCAGTGACCTTTCTAGAAAGAGCAAAGAGAGCGAGGGCTTTGCAGGTACCAGCAGACAGTCTCAGCTCCTGTTGCTCTTCATGCTGATCCCAGAGGTCCTTTATGAGGTGGAGGTCAGGGACAAGTAGTGCATTGGAAAGAGGCGATTAAATTAACTTCTTTTTCTTCTCTCTAGAAATCACTTCCAAATTTGAAAGGCAGGCCAGCCTTTGTGGCACTATTTTTTTTGACCTGAAACATTTTTCTGTATCACTCTTGTCATTTAATTTTCTTCTTTACATTGTAAGTTTTAAAAGAAAATTCCCTAACAATGAAACTCTAAAGAGCTACCTTCATGTTGATATCTACAGTCTTTAAAGCACAAGAGTGCCATGGGTCAGTTGGTCTAAGGTACTGTGCCGTAGTGCAGTTTTCCATCACATTTCACACTAACATCTTTTGCATTATTGTACCTCCATATAGGCCAATAAGATAGTTTTTGCTTTTGTAGAGCAAAAGTATTGTTTGCAGGCATAAGTATGAATTTTTGGTCTATGTTTTAATGGTCATGCTTGCCATTAGTAACATGTAAATCTCATTTATGAAGAACTGAGGCATGATTTACATATGTTTTACAAAGTGAATAACCATTTAGCACATCCAGCAACACATCCAATGGGGAATTTACAACATTGCCTATAATTCTTTACAAAACTTGCAACTGAGGTACATATAACCATGTAAAACCATATAAATTACATCTACAGCTTGATTAGTATCACCAAATTTTAACAGTTGCTGGTTTGGCTTTTTTTCTGTAAGAAGCGGGTCCAAGGTGTGAAACCTAAAGGTCAGGTTCTGATTCAGACATTTTCCCAGAGTTTTAATTCAGAAGTTTTGTTCAGTCTATTACACCAATTGGACCTACTGCAAAATTTGAATCAGATCAGTATGCTCCTTAAAGGTTATGGATGTTTAGAAAATTATTTAAAATGTCTTATTGTATAATGAATCAAATCTTTTTTGTTGCTGTGTGCTCAACTCCCCCTGTGGAGCAGGGGACTGGGAAGTTGTAACCTCTGGATTCTAGTTCTTCATTGGCTGTAGCATCTCTGTTTGACTTTAGGCAGGTCACTTAAGCTTTGGCTGGGATTTCTAAATAAGGATATGAATATTTATATTCATAGTGGTGTCACAGGGGCATAAGCAAGTAACGTTTGCAGAGAGCTCATTGGTGCCCAGGTGACATTTCCCTTCGTGTGTGATTTAGCCTGTCTTTAGCTTTCCAGGCCCACAGTTGCATACAGAGGCCTGTTCCAGCATTGTCACAGTTGTATAGCACTGTGCTGGATGCTACAGCTGAGGCTGAGCTGATGACATGGAGGCTTTCAGGACTTGTCCCTAATACACCCTGGTTCCAGGGGTGTAAGTCAGTAAGGAACCTCAGTATCTCCACAGGCTTGTCTTGTACATGCTTCACATCTCTGCCTTCAGAGGTCTTTTTCTCCTCAAGCATTTCTGAATGTTTTCTTAGGTTAGAGCAGTGAGTAGGTACAAATCATTCTTAAATTTTTTTTTTTTTTTTCCTGCCAGGGTACTAGAATGGGAAATGAATGTCAGAAAGCAGATGAAGGAGTGCCACAGCAGAGTACATAGAGAGAGCTGAAGAGCTAGGACTGTAGTATTCAGGACACATTAAACAGTTTCTGGTTTCTTGTAGTCACTACACCTTCCATGTAATTTTTTAAGACTGGAAAGGTTAACTCTAATGTCCTGGCCAACCTCAAGCTGCTCTAGCTATATTTTACTGACCCAAATTCTCTATGTTGTTTCATTTGGATATGATGCTTTCCAGCTCCTGTCCTAAATTGTTGAACAGTTTCTATTTTCTATTCCAGAAGTGGCTGCAGTTCAGAACCTGGTGAAATGATTAGTACATGCATATGCATGTATAAGCACGTTTTAAAAATCTAAAATGTCTTTCCAGGAAAGAGCAGGCAACCAAGATTTTTCAAAAGCAAGTAGAAATGTTGAATACTGAAGTGCATGTGCCCTAGGATAGACTGATTTTCCAAAAATACTGGGATTGAAAACCGGACAGTTAAAAGCCATAGTGCCATACAGATGTTTCTTAATATCTTGCCTATGCAGCAGGAAGAGGGCTTCTGGGAAATTAATTTCCCTCTTTCTTTCAAGGTGGAATTAAAGGCAGAGCATTGTGTGATTCCATGATTATTTTTATTTCTCCTTTGTCTCATGTTAAGATAATGAAAAGCCCATGAAAGTGATAGAGGATGAAGATCTTGTGGACCAGCAGCTCATCAGTGAGTTAAGGAAAGAGTATGGGATGACCTACAATGACTTCTTCATGGTGCTGACGGACACTGACATGAAGGTCAAGGTGAGCGTTTCGACTCTTTGAAAGAAAAGGCATTGGAAAAATATGAAAACTTTGAAAAATTTTAGGAAATTACTACTTGCATGTGAAGTACAGAAGAGACTGATGTAGGACTCGTCATTGCTGGAGGACAAGAAAAAGGACAGTAAGAGAAATTTTCAGGAATTAGGTAGCTATCTTCATTTTCTGCAGCTAGGGGATTTCAGGAATTGTGGGTTTCTGCTGGGATGGTGAGCTGACACCATAGGAACAGGACCCCCCTCTGGCAGGGGTTTTAATGTAGTACCTGGCATTCTAAAATACACAGTTTGGCTGCTCAACAGGATGACAGCATATTGCATATGGACAATGCTCTAGTTGAATGGCCTTGCAAAAGAATATAATGACAATTTGTTGCCTGCAATGGCCTGGCCTCATCACATTGGGCAAATACTGAAAATACGCCACTTCCAAAGAGCAGTTTGACTGCAAAACAAATAATATTTTCCATGGTTTCTAATCTGTTCTAGGCCTTGTTACCCATGTGTAAATAGGAATACTTGAATCTCTATATATCCTACTGTACTGTGATACATGCAGAAAGAGTGCTAATATGTGCATCCCTTTATCCATCTGTTCTTTTTTCTTAACAGCAATACTATGAAGTACCTATAGCAATGAAGTCTGTGTTTGATTTGATCGACACCTTCCAGTCACGAATTAAAGACATGGAAAGACAGAAAAAAGAGGGCATTGTCTGCAAAGAAGATAAGAAGCAATCCCTTGAGAGCTTCTTATCCAGGTATGACCTTCTGTTCTTAGCTACTGCTAGTTATAATAATTATTGTCTTATTAGAAAAATACCCATCCAACTATTTCTGTGGGTTTTATTAATACAGATTTCTCAGTATTTACAGTGTTAAGCAAACACAGAGAGGTAGCCATAGCTGCATGCAGTCTTGTACAGAGCACTGGAAGTCAGGATGCATGTTGTCTTTCCTGACTGCACATTCTTTGGACACTAACTTTGTGTACCTCAGTACCCCCATCATGACATGGAGATAATAACACTGACTTGCATTAGAAGAGCAAATAAGGATTAAGTCACAGATGTTAGCTCATTGTTTGAATGTATGAAGCACAGTGTTTATGTGTTTCAGTCATCAACCATCACAACCTCATTAATCCCATTCCAATCCATTCCACGTAGCTCAAATCACTAATTAATTCTCTGTAACTTCCTTCTTATCCTGCTTGAGATAGCAGTTGGTCTTTGCCAGTATTAGTCATGCATATTATTAAAGGTCTTGCAGATGTCTCTTGCAAAATGTTTGAGAGACCTTCTGCAGAAAGACAGTTTTGTTTATGCAATCTCTATATGCTGTGCTACTGCTCTACCTGTGAGACCTAAATTCCAGGCAATAAACATGTCCGGGCTGTGGGAATTCAGATCCAGAGAAGAGCTGTGCAGCTATAGCCCTATCTGTTACAGGATAATTTACATGAAATTTAGGGCTACTCCATCACTCTAGGCTTTACATGTTACTACTGCATCCTCCTCACCTACTATCAGAATCCAAGGGAATACACTGTTAATGCCAGATGGGTATAAAAATAACTGAGGTGGCGTGATGGATTATGACTTGAGGGAGAAAGGAGCAACAGGTAAATGAGTAGGTTGTTGGTTCATAAACATTTTAAAATTCGACGTCCAATTCAACAGAAAGAGAACCTTTAACAAGATCCACCCCACCCACCTCACCACCTCCTGTTTAGGTCTCAGTGATTCATCTTCAAGACCACCAAGAAGAACCACAGTTTGGAAACAGCTGACCAACACAAGAAAGAGCTTGTATGCTGGAAAGTGACAGGCCCCAAATCCTTCTTTGCTTGCAAACAGCCCTAGTAATAAACACACATTAGAAAAACAGGCAGGAAAAATGCAGAATGTTGCATCTATAAACAGAACTGCTGCTGCACAGAATGCATTTATTGTCTGTGAAACAAGCATCAGGCTTTAAATATCGGGTGGACTTCACTAGCCACATTAATTGGTCAGATTCCCAGCAAGATTCATTCCAGCTTTGTCCAAGATTATCTTCCCGTATGAACCAGAGTCCTGGCATCATCTCCCTGCTGTTGCTCATTGGGGAGGTCAGTTATAATAATGCAAATATTGTTCTTAACAAGTCTGGCTGGCGTGAAAGGAGACCATGAGAGCCAGAGCTGGTTTGAGTATTGCTTAAAAGCCACATTTATCAGGAGAAGATCCTTGAGTTTGTGGGGACGAGTCCCCCTGTAACACCAAGACACTGGCTGTGCTGCTCTCTCAGCTCACAAACAAGAATGGGGTGCAAAATAGGTAGAAGAGGAAGAAAGGATGCACCCAGGGAAGGGTCTGGCAGATTTGACAGGACAGGAGTATTGGCCTGTGGCTTCTCATGTCAGAAATAAGATAAATCTGTACATTAGTGATGGTAAACTAACAGCTGTGAAGGACCAACTGAATTAATTTCTCAGTAAAATGGGGCCCCAGACAAGCACACCAGGTATAGGGATTGCCTGGGGCAGAGGGATAAACAGCTTGAGTGGCTTTTAACCCTTTTCAGCTCTGTGCATTTCCAAAGGAGATACTCAAAAAAACCCAGAAAGGAATTACAGCATCTTAAAGCAGCTCACAGATAAGATTCCATCCTGATTTATGCCCTAGACAAAATATGATCCAATGTTTACATTCTGGGTCATTGTTTATAGGTAGCCAGGTGCTTTTGCTATACAAAATATCACAAAGATTATTTTTTCCTCATTTTTAGAATAACAGCATGAAATTTCCCCCCTTTCCTTCACATCACATATGTGATTCTTAATGCTTCTCGTTCCTATTCACATACCTGTATACCCACGCGCATGTCTCTGCTGTTCCTCCTGTGCAAGATTAAAATTCAGGACCTTTGCTTTTCAAGGGTTACTTTTTTAATCCTAAAAATGCACGCAGTATCAGTCAGTCAAGAAGACAGACATTGTCATCCCCTGTTCTTTCAGCCACTTGTTCTGTGACTTTGAGCAACTCCCACCATATTTTCTGCTTCTCTCAAGTGGAACAGAATTGACCCATTACATTAGCCTTTATTTTGTGATCTTCACATAGTGCTGCAGAAAGGCAGGCTATTATTGTAACAGAGTAACATCTGCATCCATTTAAAAGATCATTTCCTGCTACAAAAATATCCCCGCAGCTTTGCAAATTCCTTTAAATCTGATTTATTTAAGTTTGATGGAGAAGTACCTTTATTCAAAAAAGGGGTTGCTTGGAGAGTATTAAAAACCCGTATAGTTAGAATTTTTAAAGGTTTCAAGTGTCCTTATAGCATTGCCTTTAAGAGGACAACGGAAGGTGCTCCTTGTGGAAAAGTTTGGTTAGATGGGGCATCCCAAATTAAAGAAAAATCGAAAGATTTATCTTATTGCCCTATGCATGCCTTATATGGCCACAGGCTCACACAGCCACACACATACAAACAAGCTCAGATTTAAAGCCATGTTAAAGGTATTTTGAGCAAGGGCAGTATAGAAGAAAAAGAGGTCAGTGAGTATTTACACAGAAGTATGAGTTATGTCTGAAATGAAGATACACCCTAATTCTCAGACAGCCCTTGGACTGCAAAATAACTGTGCAGTTCCAGCAGTGGTGAATGACGTAAAAGCTAAATGTCTACTGAGGAATTCTACAGGAATCTTTCTTTCCCTTGGATATACACTTCCCAGCATTGTTATAACTATCAAAGGGCACTTTGAGCAAAGATCATAAGCTTTGCAGTTTGTTTGGCAAAGCAGCGAAATTGCAGATATTTCTTTGAGAGTTTTGGAGTTGTAAAATTCAAAACAGGCTTTATCCTCTCCCAGTGATGGATAGTACTGGGAAGATCTCCCATTCAGCTGTTACTTAGAAGTTGTGAGAGGTATGACATATCTCAGCCTACAAAGAACAAAAATGCTCAGAGGACTCGAGTCACTTGTGTCACGGCCAGGCCCTGTGGTGCTCTCTTCTCTTCCCAGGTTCCGATGGAGAAGGCGGCTGGTGGTGATCTCTGCCCCCAGTGATGAGGACTGGGCTTATTCCCAGCAGCTTGCTGCTCTCAGTGGACAAGCCTGCAATTTTGGTGAGTCAAAAGAAATTATACTTTTGCTCCCCAAAACCACATCCTTCCTGGTGATGTGATGGATTCCTTTGCTCAAGTCTGAACCTAGGCAGTCTGAGGAGTCTGACAACTGAAGTTTGCCGTAGCTCCTCCAAATACAAATGGAAAATATTGTGCTAAGCAGGTAGTACAGCACACCCTGACAGCTAAGACAGCTAAACAAAGTGTTCCCTGGAATCATTTTGTGTGAGGCAGAAAAGGTTAGCTCTCCAAAGCCTCTCTTCAGGCTTAGACTTCAGGAGATCAATAGTATTTTCTTCTTCTTACTGCACAAGTGAACGATGTAAGTACAATGCTTTGGGAAGGGCAGATACTCTTATACCCAGCTCAGAACTGGGCCAGGTATCAGGGAGATGCATGGACTTCCGTTTTTTTTTTTCTTTTCCTTCCTGCTTCATTCCCAAAACCTGAAGCCGTTTTAACCCAATAAGGACCCTCTCAGCCCCCTAACTACGTACTTAAGTTCCAACTACATAGTCAGTGGAGAGAGATGGGCTCCTCCAGGAGGCAATTAAGAGCAAGACCTAGAAACACTCTTCTGTCTTTCCATTATGAAGCCCTGAGAGACTTACTCTTTGACTTAGGTTGCTGGCAACACAAGTACTATATAGGACCTCGACTTGACTCCTACAACAGAATGAAACAGGTCCCATTCAAATGCCACTATTTCAACACATTTCAATTATGCCTGGAGATCTGCACAGTATCACTGCTATGCTGTCTATTTATTCATAATGACCTGGCTTTCATTCAGAGCATCAGCATCATCTCATTTGGTAACTACCAAAGTAACTGTGACATAGACCACAGCAAAATGCTTTTTGAAGAATGGGATGTAACCAAAACAGTTAATTCTTCACACTCTTCATTAGGGACAGCTTGAAGGAGACCCAGTGAGTTCCTAAAGTATTTGTCTTCAATGGCTGTTTTAACTAAATGATATGTTTCCAAGTATCTTACCTCCAAGTCATAAAAACAGTTACAGCAAAGATTTTGTAGATTGTACAGACTCATGTTACATGAACAGCTTCTACAGCCCCTAAGGTCTTTCTTCAAAGCAGAGGCAACAGTCCAAGCCTCTGCCCAGAACAAATGAAAGGAGTGAATGCCTGTCCTAAGCCATTCCCCACAGTCATTTGGAGTTTAACTGTGGTAAGTCATATTGCCTCTAAATACTTTGTTGCTGTGTGTATGACAAGCAAGAGCTTTACTAGTGAACAAAACAGTGCAGAGACATTCTGAATTTGGGGAATGGCCTCTCTAATTTACTGGTGTGCTTAATGTTTGTATCCCTGTGCTACAGAACCACACCAAATGCCATTGTCCTTGGGACACTAGCAACAGCTTTTATGCAACTGATATCACATTTATTTGACACAGTAGTTTATCCCCATGTTTGGGACAGGCAGTGCGACTGGCACAGACTCCAGAGAAATCAGTTAACTCTTCTTCCTAGAAGAGGGCTGCTGAGACTGGCCCCTAGTTTAGCATGCACAGACCTGGCTGATTAAACTGAAATCTGCCTGAGAACAAGCAGAAAGAACTGGTCTGACCCAAAACCATTTCCTCCACAGGTCTGCGCCATATAACTATCCTCAAATTGCTAGGACTTGGAGAAGATATTGGTGGTGTCTTAGAGTTGTATCCAATTAACGGTAAGTGACTGTTTCCAATTTCTTCAGTACTACCCATGAAGGGCATTACACAGCGCTGAGTGTTTCTTTGGTGTAATTTCTTTAGAGATGGGTATGACTGTGTTTTTCTCTTTTGTTTTGTTTCTTTTAAAAAACAAGACAACATAAAAGCAAACCATAAGTTTTCTTGGCATGCCTGTGCTAAATATTATATAGCTTCTTCAGGACAGAAAAACCCAATATCATCTGGAAGTCATCTCACATCTTTATCTCCCACCTAAACATACAGTCCCAAGTACACTCCTCTGCCTGCCTTGCTGTCAAAGACAGCAAAGGGATGTCCATGCCTTTTACAGGCTCAAGAGTTTGCAGGGCTAATGGAACATAGACCCAGAAGCTTCTCTTATATGGGTCCCTCATAAAATGGTTTGGGCTGGAAAGGACCTTTTAAAGATCATCTAGTCCAACACCCCTGCCACGGGCAGGGACATCTTTCACTAGACCATGTTGCTCAAAGCCCCATCCAACCAGATCTTGAAGACTTCCAGTGATGGGGCATCCACAACTTCTCTGTGCAACCCGTTCCAGTGTCTCACCACCCTCATCCTAAAAAGCCTCTTCCTTATAGCCAATCTAAATCTACCCTCTTCTGGTTTAAAACCATTACCCTTTGTCATGTCTCTATGGGCCCTGGCAAAAAAACTTTCTACATCTTTTTTATGAGCCTCCTTTAAGTATTCCACTTGCATCCCAGCAGGCTACTTCAGGTAGGAGGAGGTCTCACTGTCAGGGTACGTTTCAAGTGCTACAGCTTCCTCTACTACCCTACTACATAATCCCCACGACTGCCTCCATCAGTGGCGGGACAAAGACAGGAAGAAGCTTATTTATCCCACTGCTGTTCCTACAGCTCTACATGAAAGCATCTTAGTCCTTCTACCACACATAGACATAAGCCCATGCCTAAGAAAGAATATGAACAGAGGAAGCAGATGTCATACTTCTTCCATCGACACTCTTGCAGCCTCCACTTACTTTTCATTGAAGGACTTCATGACCTCGGTTATAGTTCCTATTTGTTAAGATCAACAGATCTCTCTCAATTCACTTGTCTAATCTCCCTTTGAATTCACATTAACTTCTAGCATGTGTCCTCCTGTGAGAACCTCTACACATCTGCAAGGTACCTTTTATTTGTCCTGAACATGGCCCCTATAGCTTGCTTTGTTCGATACCCCTTACCTCTTGTGTGGGGATAAAAGCTAAACATTTAATCCCTGTCCATCCCTGCAGTGACATTCACAACCCTGTAGACCTCCCCCAACCCATTTATTTTACAGGCTGAAGTCTTTACTTACTTGGTCATTTCTCATACAGGGTTTATTCCAAACCTACGATCAACCTTGTTGCCTTTCTGACTTTGTTTCCCAGTCCTACTATATTTTTTTGAGGTGAGAGAACCAGAATTGCACGCAGTGTTCAAGATGCACACAAACAATAGGTTTCCGTAGTGGCATAATAATACTCTGGTTTGGTTTTTCTTATTTTCCTCATGGTTTATAACATCTGTTTTGGCTTTTGACCATCAGTGAGCACTGAACGAGCCTTTCATGAAACTCTCTTTCACAGCCCTAAGATCTCATTGCCAAGTGGTAATGGTCAGATTTCACCATTTCTTATGTGGAGTTAAAATTTTCACCATGTGCATTATTTTACTTCAATTTGAATAGAATTTCTTCCATCATTTTATTGACCAGTCACACAGCCTTACAAAGGTCTTCTGCAATGCTGCAAAATCATCCTCTGCCCTTACAATTCTGAGTATCTCCACATCCTCAGTACAATTCCTCACCTCCATGCTCATACCTTACTTGCGTCATTTAACAAATACATTGAACAGCACCAGCCCCAGCACAAACAACTGTGGGACTTCACTGGTGACCTCCCTCCACTCCAGGAATTGATCATTCACTCCCACCTTTTTTCTGCCTTTCAACCAAGCTATTAAAGTTCCTTTTGAAGCCTTCTGGAAATCCACATAGCTTGTATCAGCCACCTGCTTGCTGACCCCCTTCAGAGAACCTCAACAAGTTTGTAAGGTAGGATGCCACTTTGTAAGAGTCCTGTTGCCAGGCCAACTAGGTGTATGTCTACGTGTGTATATATATATAGAGAGAGGTGTCCACTGATCCTAGTTGTCTTATACTTTCTACTCATTCATGCAGCACAGACTCCACACTTACAAGCCTGGAGTTCACCAGACTTGCTCTAGAACATGTATTTTGCAGTGGACATGACACCTACCACATCTCATATCTCGCATATCATGAAATTTCAAGAGTGAAGCTCTATACTGCTATTAATGACCGAGCAAATTCATCCTGCAGTTCTTCACACTATCACACTTCAATTCCAGTGATTTCTTTCACTGTGACTGTTTTTCACATATGCCTTCTGCATTATGTGAACCAGTGACCCAAGCTGCATAGAAGCCAAAGTGCATGTGTGTTGGGTGATGAAAAGGTGTGCCACACTCTAGTAGCTTCAGCCTAAAGAATAATGACAAGTTTACTAAACCTAACAAAACTGTTAAAAATGCATCTTTAGTTCACAGTGGAACAGTTTCATTTTGGAACCAGGAAATCCTGAACTTGTAAATGACAAGAATCTTACATTGCCAACTATTGGGCTGTATCCTATCTCATGTTGCTAACTCACTCATGTACAAACCATCATCATTGCCTAAACAAAATATCAATGCTCTTTTTATGTGATCACTTTCTAGGAAGCTCTACTGTAGACCGAGAAGATATCCCAGCTAATTTGGTGAAAGACATTCGAAATTATTTCCAAATTAGCCCAGAATATTTCTCCATGCTTCTAGTTGGGAAAGATGGAAACGTCAAATCCTGGTATCCTTCCCCAATGTGGTCTATGGCGATTGTGTACGATCTGATTGATTCCATGCAGCTTCGGCGACAGGAAATGACAATTCAGCAATCACTTGGCATGCAGTGCCCAGATGATGAGTATGGTGGGTATGGTTACCATAGCTATCACCAGGGATACCAGGAAGGTTACCAAGATGACTACCGTCACCATGGAAGTTACCACCATGGATATCCGTATTGAAAAGAGCAACTTAGCCTTCGACTGCCCCGTGTCTGTCTTCTAATAGCTATCCAAGCAATAGGTGGCCAGTTGCTGAAAGTCTTCCCAGGCCACCTAGATATCCATGCCTCGTTCTTCCACTGTTCAATCAAGGGACTTTGGTCATTTGCCTTCTCAAAAATGCAGAAGCCTTTACAGTGAAGCAATTCAAACCAGTAGTATTGAAGCTTTAAACAATAAAGACTCCTTTATATTTTTAAACCTTTACAAACAAAGGGCATCAGCAGGTGCTGTTTGTATTAAAACCAAACAAAAAAACGCCACAGCCCCAGTCCATGGACACTACTGTAGGGCAGGACACAAACTGTCCAACAAATATTGCAATGCTCTTTTTAGTATTTTTTTCTAAGGAGAACAAAAATACAAGTATATTTATTAGAAAGTGAGATTACATTGTGCTTACGAAGACAAGCAAAGAGTCACACTTCAGGACTTTCCCAGAAAAGGAAAATTTAAGAAAGAAGCATGGGGCAGGCTCTTTAATAATAACTATAACAAAATCCTTTTGAAGTACCTTGTCTAAAAAGACAGCATCCCTTCTACAGTGCATTAACATTGTAATTAGCTGACTATCAATAAAAATAAGAATTTATGGCTATGGCAGGATTTGTTACAATACAATACAATGCAAAGTTCTTAACTACAAAGCTTGCTGCATGGCCATTTATTCTTTTAATTGGGGTCCTTGTTCTCTTAGGTCCTGCCCACCTGACAGTTAAATTCAAGTTAATGAGAGCTAAATGGAATCACCAACAATAGTGAGCAGTGAAAAAAAGGAAAAAATCCTCTTTCACATATATTTTAAATGAGTTGTAACTAGCTCTCTATAATAATGTTTTAATTAAACTATTGCTCTAAATATCAAATTTTCTTCTACCTCTTCTTCTCATATGCTCCCCCATGGAAAAAAATATCTAGACTATATGTTTATAAAACTATCTGGGTATAATTTGACCTGCTACTAAACCAGCTCTATTTCTGCCACACTCTCTGAAATGGTTTTCTTATCCCTTCTCATGGGTGTGTTTGGGCACTGGATCTGTTGCACCACCCTACTCCTACTGAAATCAGTGGCAGGAACCACATGCATAGCCATGCTTTCAACACCATTTGGGTTAGATTTCTAAACATTAATGACCCAGCAGAAAAATTTAGGAATATCCTGAAGTGAAGGTATCATGCAAGCCTTCATACTGGCACAGTGGTCACTTCTAATGTTGAAGGCATGCCTGACCAGTCACATTTCTTTTTATAATCCAGGACATGGGTGCAAGTCATGTATAGACACATGCAACAGGGCACACTAACTAGGTTTTGCCATCACAGCAGTAGCACAGGAATAGGGAGAAGCTACAGATCTAAGCTGGCCAGAGCATGCTCCACAGTTTGAGTTTTAACTTTTTTTTTTTTTTTTTGGCCCAGACAAAACCAGAACTGGGTGAAGCAACAAGTTCACTCAAAACCAGATACTTTCTTTAGAAACTTAGTCACAAAAGGTCAGACTTTGCTTGCCCTTCTCAATGTCAAAAAGGCAGACAGATGTGGAGAGGTCACAGGGCCTCACCAGTTTGAGGTTCTTCATTAGCTTTACAAACCTGGTCACCCTCTGGGGCAGGCTGCCCTCTGTACCCCAAGGTGTAGTCAGCACAGGGTACAGCTCCCAGCTTGCCTCTCTCAGGTGACTGCAGATAAGTGGGGGAAGGTAGTAGGCATTGGACAGAACCATTTGAGAAGACTGCTTCTTGCAGAGAGCTTCCAAGCTCTCATTAGCTACAGCACTTGCACAGATGAAAGCAGTGGACAAAGAAATTCAAAAAACCAAAGAGGAACTACAATCAGAATCATAGAACTGAAAGGTTTCTAGAAGAAAATGGAAGGTCCCATAGCTCAGTTTTAGAAAACAAGTGCTTCATGCATCAGTGTATTAAGGTCAGCTGCCTAACTTTCTTTGCCTAAAGCAAAAGCAGAGGAAAGTATACCAGATGTCTAACAGCCACCTCCTGTAGACAAAAAGGGAAACACCTTTGGGGTGTTTTCTTTCAGGTGTTCATTTCAACCTTTCTGTAATCTTGTTTTTCTGTAAAGTCTGTAAATGAAAGCCCTTTTAACTCACATTACAAATCATGGAAACTAAATGTCCTGTGCTGAGCAGGAAGAGGAGACTGTTAACTTACAAAAGAGAGTGCAACACCTGATCCAAATTGCCTTTTTTCTTTTCCCCTTCTGCCCCCCCCCCCCTTCCAGAATTCAAAGTTAAATTGTGCAAGTACCAAACCCAGCCTAGGCATTCTGTGGGAGTTGCATTAAAAAGACAACTCCAAACAAGCTCTCCACTTATAAGGGAGGTTGGGACGGGCTCTTAACCAAAACTACACATTCAAATATTGACAGAATTTGAGGAAGACTCAGTATTATTCTACATTGTGATGCCAATTCCTGCCTGCATTACAAACTGGCTCAAAATTACCAGAAACTTTTAGCAATGATTTAAAATCCTGGTTTTGCAACCTATCTCTCCCCATGGAAACCTAAAGGCAAAGCCTGAAGGAACACCAAGCCAAAAAATCCTTTCAACCACAACATATAGTTATCTTGAAAACTGTAAGCATTCAGGAGCTACAATACTCCAAATTAAGACTTCATTTTGCAAAACACAAATCAAATCCAAAGCACTGGATCTGTCCCCGCAGCAACACTCAGAGGACAGACTTATTAAGGTCCTATTTCTACAGCCCTTAGTGGGAAGATACCACATGATAAAGAAGAACTTTTTTCTTATACATATTTATGGGATTTGATTCAGCTCCAAGACGGCTGTTTTCATCCACAGGCTATCTTTCAAGCACCATGGCTCAGCTGCTACATTCACAAAGTAGCTGAAATTAACCAAAATAGATATTACTTTAACTGGCTTGTTATAAACAAGAGAAACATGAACACATCTCTCTTCCTGGGAGGTTTGGTGAACTATTTCCTCAAACCTGGAGGAAGGAACATAACATCATCAGCAGGATGGATCCTCAGCAGAAAGTTCAAACTTTTGGGAATCTGGGCTCTAAATCAGAGCTTACAAAGAGCTCTCTGCCCAATGTATTCGTTAAAGACTATGTGCCAAACTAACGCAGCTCTCCAAAAATCTCCTCATAAATTTCCCTGCTGCCATTTGAAGAGAAAAACAATAAGCTTTGCAATATGGAGTAGGTCAACAACCATACAGTGGAAATACTTAATCAGGTGGGATTCACATGATCTATTTGAAACATTTAACTATGGAATAGCTCCCCCTTGCTAACCAGGGCTTCTCTCCAGCTGACAGTTGTTTACAGTCACTTCCTCTAACAAATCTCATGTACACACTAACTTTGGCTATTGCCATGGATAGTACAGCTACACAGAATTACATAGTTATACTTTCAGGTTACTTTACACACTTTCTTATTGCTAAGTTGATGCAAATCCTTTCCCATTTTTAGGCAGCAGTTAACATTCCTGTTGCTGCAAAGGGGATATACAGTTCTCCTTCATTATTAAAAGAAACCTGCCTGGCCAATCCAACAGAATCTCTCTGAGACCTCCAACCTGCAGACAGCAGAAAGATTTCTACGTTAGACAGGACCAACTCTACAGCGCAAGTAAATGCTTGGATCAAAGTTGTATACCTGGTATCTTTGGGCAATCTAAGACTTTGGCAAATAAGTCAAACATGATAGCATTGGTGAAATTTATAGAGGGAAAAATCATTAAGCAGGACAAGAGTTGAAAGCAAGAACTAAGTGCACTTTATAAAACCTGCAGGTCAGCCATTTCCATATCTCATTTCTCTTAAAGGCAGGTATTTCAGGCAGGAAGGTCAAACATGTTTTTTAAGACATTCATCTTTGGTTTGGTGCTCTGTCATTAGAGGCATGAGGCTGATTTCCATGTTCTGACTTAATGCAAGGCAAAGCTCTCTGGAAAAGTTCATGTAAAAAGCTACTGCTTATGTAAATGCAAAGCAATGCAAAGCTAACAGTACTTTCACTCTTCTTGGAAATACCTGCTAAAGTTGGTAGCTACGATTGAAAAAGACAATGAACTCAAGAAGGTATATATTGCAAAGCTGTATGTAATGAAAAAAATGAAAATGTCTTATCGCAACTAAGTCTTTAACAGCTGGAGCACTTTTTTTTTTTTTCATTGAAGTTTCATCTTCCTAACAGGACATCATAAACCAATGAAAAACATGTTTCTGGTATATGAAATACACTTTCTTATTCATTCTATACAGATGCAAACAAGTAGGATTCCTTTTGTTGAACTGGCCTACTATAGAAGCACAATGAGATCAGCTGTAAAAAATTTTTCAACCACAACAGTAATTTCACTTTATACAGTTATTCTTAATATATGCTAGAAAAAGTTAGTACTCCCGGGGAAAGAAGTAAGAAATGAGAATAATAATTTTACATTCACAGTTTGCAACTTGACAGTCATTGCCCACATATGGAAACAGGCTGCCCCTCTTGATGGATCAATGACAGGAGGTATGTTAATTAATACAGCCATGAGCCATCAACACAGTATGCCTAAGTAAGCTGTTATACACAGAGCCTGGAAACAGGATGACAAAGGGGAACAAAGGCAGGACTGTCTTCAGTCCACAGAGAAATGCATCACTAACTGATTACTATACACTGTGGTATGAGGCTTTGACACTGAACTCATTGCTTATCTTCTTAAGAATTCTTTTGACAATATCTTTCAAATATGAAAGACGCATTTTTGAAGGGAGGAAAGTATAAACCAACATCTTTTCCACTGTTCTGAGAGAAGAGGCTTTAGGAACATACCAAGAATCTCTTATCTGCATCCCTATTCCCTTCCCCCTTTTAAAATTCTCCGAATTATTTGGAACCCATTTTTCATCTCACTCAAAATACAATCCAGCAGACGCCTCAACAGTGATTCTGAGATCACTATGCCTGGCACTCTGCAGAATGATTTCTCTCTCTACAAAATGAATGCAAGACCTTATCAGCCTGACAGGGTGGAGCAACACCAAATGATACTACCACCTGCACCCTCTTGCTCAGTTCTCCAGATGTTGAAGGGCACCACTGTAGCTGCATAATACTTGTTTTCAGATAGTGGCCTCAGTGCAAATTAAGCTTCTACACACAGCCGTTCTAAATGCAAAAAAGACACTATGACACATTCACACTGTATAACACACTTTTGTTTTATTCAAGCTCTTTCAAAGTTAGGCCACGTAAGTTGCATGTAAAATCCACTATCTGCTACAAAGGCATTCCAGATTTGCACTTCCCCAGACACTAGGAGACAGGCACACAACAGCCCCACACTGAAAATGTGAGGAAACTAGTGGCTGAAGTCAGTGAAATCTCTTCTGCTCTCAGTCACATCAGAGAAAATCAGAAAGGATGAACTCCACAGGAGTCAGTACAGAGTTACGCTGATGTAAAAACAGGAATGAAGACAGAATTAAGACCATTCCAACGCAAATCACACTCTAGAGATCTGCCTGTTTGAAGGATCAACATATCCTTAACCCAAATTATTTGATTTATTATACATTCTCAAGTCAAAGTTTGATGAGGTTGGTTCAGAGGGACTCTTTTATAGGAATATGTCAATCTGAATTGCCAAA